ATCTGAACTTAGTACTAAAGGTTTCTTTTTCTTTTGTTAAAGCAGCAGCTTGTTTTCTTGTTTTTTTTTATATTTTGTGATTTCTATAAAGATTTTTAATTTCTACTGATATTTTGTATTCTGAACAGTTTTTTTTAATATGTTTTGTTTTGTCACAAAAGTAACATAGCTTTGGAACTTCTCTTTAGTCAGTTGTTATTTTAAAAATTACTATCTACTGATCTGAAAGAACTAAGGTGTCTTTATGAATTAGTAGCTTGATAGATGAAATAGTACCAATATCTTGAAAGGCTTTCTTAATGTGTTCTGAAACAAAGTTTTTTTTTTCTATAGAGATATTGTGAAGCCTTATTGACAAGAAGTTGTATCTGATATTTATAGAAATATATTTTTGAATATTTTGTTTAAAGACTATAAGACCCTCAGTTGCATAGTACTGTTGTTTCTCTTTATCTGAGAAGACAACCTCTAGATATGTATATCTATTTTTGATAATTATTGATTTGATCGTGATTAGATTTTTTCCAATATTATTCTGTATAGCTTTGATAATATTAAAGGTAGAAATATTCTTTAAACTATAAATTTTAAAAATTAATATATTTTTATTTTTAGTATAAAGTGTTTTCTGGGAGAATAAGTTGAAAAGGTGCTTTTCCTCTTTTAAGTTTTGTAAAAAGATTAAACTACTGTCTAGGTTTTGCAGATATATCTTTTGGCTTTGATTAGACATCAATGTGATCTGTTTTGTGTTCAGTTGTTTGTTCTGTTTCAAGATCAGCATTGGTTATATAATCTGTTTGATTTAGTTAATGTTTTACTATATAACTAATACTGGTCACATGTTTTGTTTATTTTGATACATCTTGACAAAACGTATCAGATAAAGTAACCAAAACATTTTTTTTTTGTACAAACTTTGCAATTTCTATAGTTTCAAAATTAGACTTAATGTCTTTAGCTTTGAGTACAGTGTTGAGATCTTTTTGTTTTAGATTGCTGTTTTCCTTTTTGATCTCAATTTTAAAAGTTTTGATATAATCTAAGTTTTCTTTGTTGTCTACTTTATTGTTAGAAAGTTTTATTATTTCTGTATTCAAAGTTTTTGCCTTCTTGACTTTTCTGTTTAAACTGCTTACAAAAGTATTTGACATAATAGTGCTAACTTGTTTTTATTTTTTGGATACAAGAGTTTTAACTCTTGCTATATGTTTTGTAACTGCATTCTGAAAATTTGTTGTTATTTTAAAAAATCAGATGTTTTTCACCTATAATCAATAGAAAACAGGAAAAAGTTTGTTTATACAATCTGTTTTCATATTTTTAAAAATATTAAGTTATTTATATTATTAGATCTTTTTAAATTTTATTGAATGATGTTGATATTAATTTGGTTTTACTTTTTTAAAATTGTCTTGAATAAAGTATTGCTCTAAATAATAAACTGAAGTATAAACCAAAATATTGCTTTGAAATATAAACTAAAGTATAACTAAAATACAAAACTGAAATATAAACTAAAGTACAAAACTGAAAAATAAACTGAAATATAAACTGAAATATAAACTAGAGTATAAACTGAAGTATAAACTAAAGTATAAACTGAAGTATAAACTGAAATATAAACTGAAATATAAACTGAGTATAAACTAGAGTATAAGGTAATATAATTAAACCAATTTGGTTTAGTTTTGAATTTACTCCACTGGTTTATAACCCAAACCAAACCAAACTATTAATAACATTAACTTTCAACATTTACAAACTTATTAGTTTCTAATATCACAGAATTTCAAAATATTAAATTATTATAAATTTGGATTAGTATTAGAAAATTTTGAAAAGATAAACAATAAATAAATATAAATTATAAACATATTTGTCATGAATTATAAAAATATATTTTTTAAATTTAATTATATTAAATTGCAAAGATTTCAAAATATTATCACAAAACTTCAAAGAAACCAAATCACAATTATTAGGCAAAATCACAAAACCATAATTATTAGACAAAGATATCAGATCACAGTTATTGAGTGAAGACACAAAGTCATAATTATTGGGTGAAGATATAGACCACATTTATTAGACAAAAGCAAACCATTATTGTTAGATATTGATACCAGTTCACTATTTATTATGTGTCCCTTCCCCGTGCATAATTGTCGTAGTCATCCCTTTAATACTACGTCCATAAGATAAGCTTTTATTTTTTTTCTTTTCATATGCACCCACAATGAATCCTTTTTTTTCGTATGCACCCATAATAAATTCTATTTTTTTTTTTCATATGCATCTATGTAAATTATTATAATTGTTGGAAGAAAGTATAGTATAACTACCATTATTATCATGTAAAGACACTGGGTTTTGGGGCAAA